GAGCCCAGCATAATGATTCAAAACACTGTGAGCTTGCCCAGAAAGGAAGCTCCAGTAAAGTTGTAGCCTGCAAAGATGGAACAGAGGAGAAATTGGTCACTGAAAAGACTAGCAAGAAAAAGCCAAGTATTTCAGAAGAAGACAACAGAAAAGATGGCCTGAGGACATCACAAGAACCAACAGGACTCCAGCTTTTGCAGCTTCTGAGTTGCAAAGGTGAAACATTTTGAAAAGACAGCCCCAGAGCACCATGTTCCAGAATGGCAGTGGCCAAGGGAAGTTGTTCCTTGGGATTTGGTTCATAGGCACTGGACCCCTACAGCCAAGAGATGGGGAAAAAAAGAAGCAAGATATATCATGTACAGGTACAAATTCTCTATGATGAATATGATCATTATGTATATCTAAAATGTACCAAAAAATGTTTCACTTAAAAAAACCCTGAAAAATGAGAGAGAGGGGGGGGAGCCTGGCTACTCCTCCAGCTGATCACAGACCTTGGCATCATCCACATGGTGCTGGTTTTAGGCACATGCAGAACGCAAGGGCTGTCGGGTCAGGAAGGCTTCCACCCAGATTTCAGAAGAAGGCCTGGGAGGCCAGGCAGTGTTGCCCTGCGAGAGCAGTGTGTGAAGCTGTGAGTGTGAAGCCGAAGGTGCAGTGGAGACCCTAGAAATTTGAAGAAGCCAGGAACGTGGATCATCTGAGGAAAACTGCAAGGAGGGAGCAGAGCTGGCCCAAGTGAGAAGCCCTGGGAGCTACAACCACTGGTAGTGCGGTAGGGGCGGAGTCACCAAAGTCTTTTGGAGTTCACAACTTGCCACAGATTGCCTGGGATGCTGGCAGTGGAACTGTGGGATTTAATGTTTGCCCTGCTGGATTTTGGACTTGCTTTGTTCCCATTCCTTGCTATCCTCCATTAGTAACCTTTGGAATGGTAATGTCTATCTTGTGCCACTGAACGTTAGAAGTGTTTAACTTTCTTTTCATTTGTACAGGGGCTCCCAGCTAACAGTTTGCCTTAGGACTTGGACTTTTCAGCAATGCTAAAACTGTTAGAACTTTGGCATCTCTTAGAGATGGACTAAATAAATGTCTTTTGCATAAAGGAATATACATGAGTCTTTGCGGGTAAGGGGCAGAATGTTATGGTTTGTGTCTAGATATTCCCCCAAAGCCTCCTGCAGTCATAGGTGGGGCTTTTTTAGGGGTGGGTTGTTCTAGCCTGTGACGCTGGAATTGCTTCATGGTGCAATGCTAGGATCAAGGGCACTAAGATTAAGGATGTGACTGCTACCCGCCCTAAGTAGCCTGGATAAGATATAAAGGATAGAAAGAGCCCTGTTCGTCCTTTGCTTATTTTTGCTCTTCTGCCTGCCTGGAACTGTTTCTCTTCGATGCCTGTCTGCCGTGCCACCCTGCCTTGGAGCCAGCCGGTTATGGACTGAAACTTCTACAAACTGTGAGCCAAATACGTTTCTTCCTTTAACTTTGGGTGTTAGGTATTTTGTCTCAGCAACAAGAAAAGGAACTAAGACATAAGTGTATGTGACAATCAGGGTTTCTTCACTGAAGTCAATATTGTTTTCAGGATGGGCAGGAGAAGAAACTTAAAAGAGAAAAAAGTGACAAAGAAATTATCTGTTTCTCGTCAATGTAAAAGTTTTGTTTCCCATGCAAAGTAAAATTACAATGAGCAATCACCTTACATCTGTTAGAATGGCTATTACAAAAAAGAAAAAGAAAATAAAAGGTGAGAATGTGGAGGAAAAAAGAACCTTTGTAAACTATTGGTGCAAATGCAAATTAGTATGGCTGTTTTAGAAAACAGCATACTGGTCGCTCAAAGAACTACTGCTGTACATGCACTAAATCCACATATCCAGCAACCCACTTCTGGATAAATATCCAAAAGAACTAAAATCTGTGTGTAAAAATGTGTCAGGACTGTCATGCTTATCGCAGCACTAGTTACAATAACCAAGTGGCTAGCAACAAATGAATGGATAAAGAATTGGATACAGTACACAGCGGCACTTAAAAACAGAAACATTGTCATTTGCAACAATGTATTTGAAATCTAGAGAACATTATGTTCCTTGAAATAAGCCAGACACAGAAAAAAAAAATGGCTCACAACTTCATTTAAATATGGAACTTTAAAAAGTCAAACTCCTAGAAGTACAAAGTAGAATAGTGGTTACCACAGGCTGAGGGCAGGTAAAGGTTGGGCATTGGGTAAAGTTTTAGTCAAGAGGAATAAATTCTGGTGATCGACTGTGCAGTTAGTAATAATGTACTGAATAGCTCCAAATTGTTCAGTGGATTTTATTTATTTATCTTTATTTTTGAGACGGGATCTTACTATGCAGTTCAGGCTGGTCTTGAACTATGTATCCCCAACTGGCCTCGAACTCCCTGCGATTCCTCCTGTTTCAGCCTCTGAACACTGAGATTTACAGGCTTGTGCCACCACTCATAGCTGTTCAGTAACTTTTAAATGCTTTCACTACAAAAAATTGGGGCAATAAGTATGTCAGTCAGACCATTCCACAATGTACAGATGCATTGAAACATCACATTGTACCCCACAAATATATATTTATCAATTGAAAATAAAAATAAACCAGGTGCCCTGACAAATCCTGTAATCCTAGCTGCTTGGGAGACTAAGGCAGCAGAATTACCAATTTGAGGCCAGCCTGGACGATTTAGTTAGATCGTGTTTCAAAATTTAAAAAGGGCAAAAAAAATTTTTTTAAAGGGTCAGGGATATAGCTCAGCAGCAGAGCGCTTACCGAGCCTGCACTGAGTTCCTTAGCGATCCACAGTATCCACAAAAATAAAATTTTGTTGTATGAGGCAACCTGCATTGGGGTTAATGAAAGTCCCTGCCTTCCAGAAACTGCACCCGCAGGGTATACAGTATAGATAGTCCTAAAGCATTATGATAAGAACCATGATAATATGTGTAAATTTGCTTTAGGCTCACAAAGATGGGAAGAAGTGATTACATTCCAGAGACCTTCAGAAGACAATGAAAGATTTTCAAGAATGACTAAGAAGTGGGGGGTGGCAGTCAGTCAGTAGTCCCAGCTACTCCAGAGGCTGAGGCAGGAGGATGGCTTGACCCCAGGAGTTCAACACCAGCCTGGACAACACTGAGAGACCCCAGACCCCATCTCATTAAAAAACAAACAAAAGAGTCAGGCCTATTGGTGCATGCTTGTAGTCTCAGCACTCTGGGAGTCTGAGACAGGAGAATGGAAAGTTTGAGCCCAGCCTAGGCAATTTAGGGACTTAGCAAGACGCTGTCTCAAAAAAGGGGTGGGGCTGGGGATGTAACTCAGTTCGAAGACCCTGAATTAAATCCCCAGTATACCACAAAAAACGCTGGGGTAGGGGGAGGCTAAAGAATTGTCTTTCCAATCAAAGAAGTGGACAATGAGAACATCTTAACCTTAGGGAACAGAGTGGCCATCTCTTACATCTGGTAACACGAAGCTGCAGAAAGATGTTTTAAAAGGGGTCGTAGCAAATCAAACTTTAAACTCCGAAGTTCTAATTGAACTGCACATCAGAATGATCCGGGCAATGAAAAAATGCAAAAATGCGGACTTCCAGTCCTTATGCCAGACCAATGACATCTGACTCTAGGGGTGGGGCCCATGGGCCTAAAGTTTTTTGTTCGTTCCTCTTAAAGCCCTCAGGCGATACTAAAGTGCAGTCAAGGTTGAGAATCAAGGTTTGAAAGCAGGTGCAAAATACTTTAAGCATAGCTTTAGAGGGGGGAAAAGGTGGCGGTAGGCACACAGGAACTGAAAGCCCTTGAGGGTGGGGCAGGCCGGCTACTGTGAGAGCAGATACAAAAACCTAGAATCTGTTGGACCAACTGGCATTTTGGTAACAGTAACAAGGCCAGCATATACCCAGTTCTATCAAAATTAAGCTAGTAGCCTGGCGGTCCTGCCCGTCCCCAGTCAGGTTCTCGCGCACATTTTCCCACAGTTTGAAAAAAAATGACGGCAACGTTCCATCTCCCACGCAACACGTCTCGGACGTCTGTGGGAGGAGCAGAGGTCTGCGAAACCAAAGGCGCGCTGCCACTTAAATTTTACTTCGTGATTCCAGAACCACAACTGAGGAACTGCTAGGGGGGCCCTCCAGGTTCCGGCCCGAGCCCCACTGAGGAAG